GCAGTGTCCTGCTCCCGGCTGCCCCGGCTCCCCCAAGGCTGCTAAATCTATGCAGAGGAATTCTTCTCCATCATCTTCTAAAAGCCTTTTTCAAATTTACAGAAAGATTGCAGGATAAGAATAGTATAAAGAACACCTGCATTCTCTACTCAGATTCACTCACTTACTGTTAACATTTTACCCCATCTGTTCTATCATTCTCTGTGTGTGTATTTTCTGAACTATTTGAGAGTAAGTTGCATACATCATGGCCCTTGCCCCTAAAAATTTCAGTTTGTATTTTTTAAGAAGAGGGATACTCTCTTATATAACTACAGTACGGTTGTCAACTTCAGTAAATTTGAAATTGATATAATACAAAACTTAAATCTGTGGTCGTATTCCAATTTTTTCAACTGACTCAGAATGCCCTTTTTAGAATTTTTTCCCCTTTTAGCAAGGCCCCAATCTAGGATCAGGTATGATTTTAAGTTGTTGTATCTTTTTAGTATCCTTTAACATGGATCATTTTCACAGCCTTTCTTTGTCTTTTATGACATTGATGTTTTTGATGAATGCATCTCCCTTTCCCTTTTAAAAACAGAACCTTTCTTTTCTCAAGCAAGGAGTATTGTAAAAAATTAAAACAAAAAAGAAAAGAAGAACTTTCCTCATTTTGGATTTGTCTGATGTTTCCTCAGGATTAGATTCAGGTTCTGCATCCCTGGCCTGAACACTACATAGGTACTCAGAGGACTACATTTGCGCACACACGTCCATCTGCCTTTCATTGTGTGATGGCTATTTTGATCACCCAGTCAAGTTGTCCCTTTCTCCATTGTACTGTTACTATGTTTTCCCTTCTATCAACTAGTTAATCCGTGAGGAGACACTTTAAGACCAGGTAAATATGCTGTTCATCAAAATTTCCTCCTGTATTTCACAACCATTGATTATTCTTGCCTGAAAAGATCTTTGTAAGGATGGTCAGGTTGGCATTCGTAATTAAGAGTCTTCTTTCTCCCCCATTATTTGTCTATTTATTGTGTGTGTATTTGGACTTCTGGATTCCTGTTTTTCCAATGGTTTATAATCCATTGCTGTCCTTAATTATGTCAGTAGTCTGATTGTCCCCTGTTTGGCTAGTCGGAGCCCTTTTAAGCAGGCAGCTGTGCCATCCTGATGCATCCACATTACCTGAATACCTGTGCCTGCCTCTCCTGTTGGCAGCCACATCATCTCCGGTTGAGATGCCCTTTGGGGGACCTCAAAGTAAATTTTGTATGTTAAATAGCTTTTAAATCACACTGTCCCATAAATGTCTTTCAGATTTGGGGAGAATCTACCTTGACATATTTGAATGATGTGTCAATAGGCAGACAGAAACTTAATTTTCTTTATAATCATTTGTACCCACACCTGTTTTCATTTGCAGTAACTGAGTCCTCTTACTGCTCTGTAGTAATAAGCACCTTGCTGGCTGCACCGAGTGGACCTCGGAGCTGCCCTTGGGCGCCCTCTGCTGACACTGAATTGCCTGCGCTCTTTTCTGCGGTTGTAGTACTTGGATTTCTCGTTCTGCCCATTTTCTTTCTTTTGATTGGTTGCTTTCTCTCTCTTTGATTATTACACAAATATGTATCATACAATACAACCTGCTTTGTTTACTCAATGTATCCAGAATATCTTTCCATGTTAAAAAGTATATATTTGCACCATTATGTTAATGTTTGCATACTTTTCTGTTATGAATGTTCTTTTTAGCATTTAAATAACCTATTTTTAGTAGACATGTGTTGCTTATTTTTTTCATTTCAGATAGCACCTAAAATTTACCTATGTCATTCATTTGTAACTTCTTGAGTAGGACTTGATAAGTAGGTAGGAATTTAACAGGTAAAAATGTAGGAAAAGGAGACTCTAGTTCAAGAAAATTGTTTAGACCAAATTTAGGATGTGTTCAAGAAACAGGAAAATCATGGTGGGGCACGGTGGCTCACGCCTGTAATCCTAGCTCTCTGGGAGGCCGAGGTGGGTGGATTGTTCGAGGTCAGGAGTTCAAAACCAGCCTGAGCAAGAGTGAGACCCCGTCTCTACTATAAATAGAAAGAAATTAATTGGCCAACTGATATATATATATATAAATATTAGCCGGGCATGGTGGCACATGCTTGTAGTCCCAGCTACTCGGAGGCTGGAGGCAGAGAGGATCGCTTGAGCCCAGGAGTTTTGAGGGTCTGTGGAGCCTAGGCTGACGCCACGGCACTCACTGTAGCCTGGACAACACAGCGAGACTCTGTCTCAAAAAAAAAAAAAACAAAAGAAACAGGAAAATCAAGTTTGGCTGAAACATGGTTGAGTAATAGTGGGAAATATGGTTAGAAAGTAGTATTTTGGGACTCTTTCTGTTGAAATGATAAAAATCCAACTCCAACCATAAGAGAAGTAGAACAGAAACATGTTTGCTTAATAACTGGGAAGCCTAGGATAGCTGGGTATAAGGCCTTAGTGCTATTGCGCCATCCTTTCCCTGTTTCTACTTCTGCCCCTTCCCAGTCTCAGCACTGGTTCTCTTGCCTGTTGGCACAGGGAGGGAAGGAGCCCCGTGGGCTTTCCAAACCAGCATCCAACAGCTCAGGTTATAGGGAGAGTCACTTTCTTCCATTAGTCACAGAGTAAACATCAGGGAAGGCCACGGACTGGTACTCTTTGGATCACACTTCTACACTAGGCCAGTTTTCGTGACAGGGATGGTGTGTTTGCGTGGGCTGGATCTGAAGCACAGGCCCACGCTAAGGCCAGGGAAAGGTGGGAACTACGGTTGTGTTTCCCCCTAGAACTCCATGGAGCAAGTGAAGTAGGATCCTTCAAGGGATGGCCTGGGTGCGATGGCTCATGGCTGTAATCCTTATACTCTGGGAGGCCGAGGCAGGAGGATTATTTGAGCTCAGGAGTTTGAGACCGGTCTGACAAGAGCCAGACCCTCTACTAAAAAAGAAATGAAAATTGGCTAATAAAAACATATAGAAAAAATTAGCGGGCATGGTGGCGCATGCCTGTATCCCGCTACTCGGGAGGCTGAGGCAGAGGATTGCTTGAGCCAGGAGTTTGAGGTTGCTGTGAGCTAGGCTGACGCACGGCACTCTAGCCAGGGCAACAGAGTGAGACTCTGTCTCAAAAACAAAAACAAAACAAAACAAACAGGTAGAGTACAAATTTTAGATAATTACTTGAATTCTAAATCCTCACATTTATAAATAAGGCCTGTAGTGTCTGCATAAAGCCATCGTGGGTCTTTTCCATCCCACGCTGATTACGGCGCACCTTCCGGTAGGTTCTGCAGTAGAGCTGCACTGCAGCCTGCCCTGGAGAGGAGGCTGGGGAGGCCCAGATGGCTGGCACTTCACATTCTGTGTGCTGCTGCTGGGGCAGGAGGGGACAGAAAGTGGGGGGGGGGCTTCTGGAAGAGGGGGCATTGCTGCCTGAGGCTTGAAGGATGAATGACTGGCAGGCAGAGAAAAGGTGGCACTTCAGGTGGAGGGCGTGGCCTGTAAGTCAACACAGAAGGTCGAGGACTGGGGGGCTGCAGCGATGGTGAGGAATGGGGAAGTGGCTGTGGCTTGCCTTGTGCCTGTGTCATTGTTACTGCCCTTCTAATACCTGCAGCTCTAAGGGGAAGAACAAGTAAAGTCGTGGAGACATGCTTTTTCTACCAGTGTTTAGTGACCAAATGCAGAGTGTATGGAGAGGGCCAAGAGTCCCCTGATCCACAGTCTAGACCAGGGACACAAATCTGTTATCTTTCCTGTGGCAGCAGAGAGACTATGATTTCAAGAAACCAGACAATTCATTCTTTCAAATAATAAACAGAGACCATTTATTTGATTTCTAAACATAGAATGAATAACATTTATAGTTGCCCAAATTTTGGTACCTTTTAGGAGAAAAATACAGATCATTTTTTTGTTGGTGTTAAAAATAAATGTTTAAAAAATTTAAGGTAAAAGACTTGCCGTAAATAAAGTATAACATGAGATTAGCCAAAAAAAAGTTTAAAAATCATCCAGTGTGTATTCCGTATGTAAAAACAAATCATAACTTGAGGTGAATATAGACTGTCTTGGATCATGTATATTTAATACACTAGACACACGCTGATTTGCTTTTCATGCTTTAAGTATATTAGGTTTTGTATTTGCTTCCAATTCCAGGAGAATATATCTGAGTTTTCTTTTTATCAGATTTGAAAAGGTAGAATACTGCCTTGTTTTGTCATGCAGTTTCAGACAACTGCCCACCTGAGGGTGGGCGGCTTTTATTTTTACCTCCTTAAATATTAGAAGCAGCAGGACATGCAGATGCTGTAGCTTGAGCTGAGGTCACAGTCAGCATAGAACGGTTCTGCTAAGAGACTTATGTTAAAGGAAGTGAATTTGGTGACTTGGAAGTTTTGTTTTACAAGCTAACTGTGGCGTGGCCACTCTGCAGGGCGGCACAGGTTTATTGCAGGGTGAGCAGAGCCATGGCCTTAGTCAAACAAAGAAGGTGCAGGAACACCTGGGAGTGGTACCTTCAAAGTTGGTTCTTTCGCTTTTCAGTGCATGTAACTGAACCACCATCTTTTCCAAAAAAGAGGAAAAAGACGTAAAAGTCAGTCTGAAACTTTTGTGACACTCAGTAAGACTCCACGTTAGATATAGCAATAATGGAAATTTAGCTTTATTTTTGTCCCAAGTTGTGCTTAGAAAGCTGATTGTGAAACCAGGAAGCTTGGCTTTCAGAATTCTGCCGTAATCCAGGGTGGAAAGAAAGTATCCCCCAGATGGCAGCGGCGGCGGGAGATTACTGAGGGGTAATCCTTCCTTGTCCTAGAAGATTAAGTCTGCCCTGGTGCAGTTGTGGTCAGCTGACTGTTTTTTTAAAAAAAATAAATAAATAAATTGTGGTTTCTTGTTGTAATGCTGCCAGCGTGTGACGTGGGCTTGGACTGTTTGTACACCGGAGCCACTTTGCAGAACCGGCCCTTCTTTGTTTACTAAGGAAAGCGCCTTGCCCAGGTTGTTCATTGTTGGCTGAAATTAACAACAGGTGGTGAACAGAGCCCCTCCTAAAGGTTGCTCAGGATAAGTCATTTGTTAAATAGGTCTGTTTGTCAGGCGGGCTCTCCGAAGGAAGCCAGGGCCTCTAACCCCCTGGGGTTGAGTTCTTCAGCCAGGTTGCACCTGCACAGGGAACATGGCCACAGCGGCACTCAACTGAGGAATCAGGCCAGGTGGTTAGAAAGCCATGCGTTCTGCGTTTGTCTGGAATGGATCGTGGAGAGATGGACTTATATGAGGACTACCAGTCCCCGTTTGATTTTGATACAGGAGTGAACAAAAGCTATCTCTACTTGTCTCCTAGTGGAAATTCATCTCCACCTGGATCACCTACTCTGCAGAAATTTGGTAACTACTGATTTGGTAAAGTTAAGTTTGCCTGCGATAAAATCTAGACGTAACTTGGGGTTTGTCTGGCTTTAAAATTATTACAGATCTCCCAGGGTGTTGGTGGGTTTGTTAACTAGCTAACAAAGCTGTTCTAGATTCAAAGCAGAGAGATAGATGGCTCATTAAATATTTAGAATATATGTATACTGGGAAGTTAGATTTTAAAGTTAGCACTATTTATATGATCATAAGAATTCTCCCCTTGATAGGACTGGCTCACTTTGAGTTTGTTGAGCTGGTAAATGGTAAATAACAACGAAGGAGGAATCTGAAGGCCCTGGTTTCTGCCTGTGTAATTTATGAAGACTTTCCTGGTGTTTGTTTTTAGTAAAACGAGACTACAGTATCTGAAGCACTGACTACATTCAAGGTCCTGTTTTTAATGGATGCCCTGGGTTTTGTTATGGAATACTGAGAGTAACTTGCAGAAATTCCTAGGCAAGAGATTTTTTTTTTTTTTAAAGAAAAACTCAGAATTGCTGTACTGTATTTTGTACTTTGGAAGCAGTTATTCCTTCATATGTGCCAGTATGGTTGTTCCCAAGGCCAGGAGCACCGTCAGGGGAGATCTTCACTTAACAGCTCCGGGCAGAGCAGAGCTGGAGGCGGCCTTAGCCAACATCCAGGCGGGTTCTGTCGTTTTACAGCCACCACGGGAGGGAGATGGCTACATGTAACTTCCTCTGTTACTTGCCAGAGAAGCAACCAGGTTTTCCCAGAAGTTAATTTTTTCCTTATTAATGAAGAACAGGTCACATTTTGTTCTTAAGCTTGAAAAATGGGTAATTTAGAAAAATCGTGGCAAAGGCTTTACTGCATGAAACCTAGCTGAAGGTATTTTAGGTTTGTAGGTTTGCTGACAACAGGGAGTATGCTAAAAGCAACGTTGCTCTAACTCTTGGTTGCAACTGGTAACCGTGTTTGGAGGTGCAGCTGGGACTTCCAGGAAGGGGAAAATGTTGATGATGATGATGAAGAGGGCCCAGGACTGGTCTCTGCAAGTTGGGGGTGGGTAGGCAGCCGCTAGATGTCTGTTGTGGGGAGCGGGGTTGCCGGCTTTCTCCTGTGCTGACTTTGCTTTGTCTATGTGGGACACCGTGGACCTCTGTAATAACATTCAGGGCTCCCCCCTTGCCCAGTCCCTTTCTAACTTATGTATAAGGGCAGCACACAGAGGGGGGGGTGTTAGCTCTCCCCATAACACAGTAAAGCCTAAGTGACAAGGGGCCATGAAAACCTTCCAGAAGCCGGGGCTGCAGTTGCAGCGTTCAGGTAGACCTTGGCAATCAGTGTGCAAGGGTTCGAGATTCCCAGAGAGACTGATGTTGCTCATTTCTTTTAGTTCTCATCTATTCTTTTTTGTGTCTTTATTTCTGTCACCTACTTTTACCTTCCCAGTTACCACGATGGCTGCCTTTGGATCTTTTGTAGGGTTGGGTATGCCTCTAGGCAAATTTCAGGGTGGATCGTTTGAACTCAGGAGTTCGGAGATCAGCCTGAGCAAGAGCGAGACCCCATCTCTACTAAAACAGAGGAAAGATTAGGCAGGCATGGTGGCACATGCCTGTAGTCCCAGCCACTCAGGATGCTTGAGGCAGAAGGATTGCATGAGCCCAGGAGTTTGGAGTTGCTCTGAGTTAGGCTGACGCCATGACTCTCTAGCCCAGGCAACAGAGTGAGACTCTGTAAAAAAAAAAAAGGCCTTTTATCAGGAGCCTTTAAACTCTTTGGGCATGACCAACCCATATTCAGAAATGCCTGATACTGCCTGACCCACAATTCTCATAAACACAAATATCCATCAGTACCTGATACAAAATGTTATGAACTAGAGCTTATCCTTACTATATGGGATGTACTCAGTTATTTTATATCATTCTATTCCATTTTTTCTTTTTGAAATGCTCATCTGGTACTGATAAATGGATTTCACGACCCATAGTTTGAAAACACTGATTTATAGTAAGTTTCAGAATCTGGAATATAAGCTCTGTTAAGGAATGTTAGTTTGTCTTCTTTGTTCACTGCTGTTTCTGCAAGCACCCCAAATCGTGCTTGACATTTATGGCTCAAGAAGTATTTTTTGAATAAATGAGTGCGTGAAACTGATATGGAGTAGTTCACACTCCCATTCATTTTACAGATGTGAACACTGAGGCTGGGAAAAATGTGTGATGCCCCCAAATCACAAAGTTTAGTTAATCTAAACTTGGACTAGCGCCTGTCTCTTAATTCTCAAGCCTCTCTGTGTGTGTGTGTGTGTGTGTGTGTGTGTGTGTGTGTGTGTGTGTGTGTGAGTTAGACCACAACGTCTCACCCCCTCTGCTAATAGATATTGTAGAACAGGTTAATCATTCAAGGCCTGACTTCTCCCTGGGTCAGGGGTTTTACTGTGGGGGTGGTTTGGTGATTCCTTATGTGCCACTGAGACCCACACATTCCGTTCCATTTTCTGGCTGCTAGTCAGCACCAGGGGAGCCTCACAGCTGCATTTTCTCTTCCATTCTGTAAACACCTATAAGGATAATTTCCCAAATGTTATTTACATAGACTCTCTCTTCTTCTTAAGAATTCTCTAATACA